TTCTAATTTCAATTTTTCAACTTTAAACGCGTGACGCTTCACAGTTTGGAAAACGCTGGCTTTATGGATTATTTTTTCTTGATTATAATCAAAATTAATTCAGCAATTCAAATAATGTCAAGTTTTTTAAAATGTTTTTTAATGTTTTTCATGTTTTCAATTCATTATCAATCCTTAATTTCCTTCAACAAATATTTTCATTTTCAGATTACAATTAACAATTTTCAGTTTCTAAATTTAAGAATTTCAAGTGTTAAATTGAGAAACTAATTTTGATAATTTTCAGTTTAAATTGATAAAACCCTTAATTCCTTAAAGCAAAATTTTCATTCAGTAATTTTCAGTTTACTCTTTTGATAATATAAAATTAGAATAACGCCAAATTTCATTAATCAAAATGTAAATTTCCTTTATTCAATTAATTACTCTTAATTTCAAGTGTTAAATTGGAATAATGCCCAAAATGTTAAGTTTCTTGATTCAATTAGTGATTTTAATTGATTATGTTAAGTACATTTAAACACATGTTATGATCATTAATCTTAACTTTCTTCTTTGGATAATTTCAGGTGTTAAAAAATTGAAATTATATCCGAATAGAATGAATATGTCCGTGCACCGGTTTTCTATTTCTGTTGGCCTCTGGCCAGAGGATCTCGAGCGATCTCTGCATTTTATAAATAAACACGCTCGTGTTCTCGTTCTATTTCAGTACGCGGAGTTCTTTACTTTGTATAGGCGTTTCGCGCACGCCGTACGCATTCTGATCAATCAAATGTGCAAAAGGTTAATTTAAGAAGAATCGAAGAAAGAATTCAGTGAAAAGAAAAAAAATAAAAGATGAATTGCGCCGAGTGCGATAAACCGGCGGATCTGAAGTGCTCGGCCTGCAGACAAGTGTCTTATTGCAGCAGGGACCATCAGAAGCAGCACTGGAAGAAGCACAAGAATCAATGCAGACCGATTGAGGTGAGAGAAAAAGAAAATGAAATTAGAATTATCATTAATATGATTGTACGGAATTTCAGATCAAAAACCTTCCTGATGTTGGAAGATGTTTGATAGCTTCCAGAGATGTCGCAGCTGGAGATGTCATCCTTTGTGAACTACCGATGGTTTACGGTCCTAGGCCTCACATGATCGAAAAAGGACCTGTGCCTTGTCCGGGTTGCTGCAGGTATTCCTTTTGTAAAATTTGTAATTGTTTTGGTTTTTTTATAAGTTTGATTAAGGTTGATCCTCGCGGAGAGGGCCCCCAGGTGCGAAGGCTGCGATTGGCCCGTCTGTAATCCCGAATGCGAAGGTCTGAGAGATCCGGGAAGACACGCAGTGGAATGCTTCATTGTTGGTCTTCGCGCTCACAGAGCTCTGGAGGGTATGCACGAATATTACAGGTAAAACTATGAGATAAAGTTGTTAAAAATTGTTAATAATTGATATTCTTGTAGGCAAGACGTGCTTCTGGCCGTGCGTTGTTTACTGTTGCAGAGGAAAGGTCTCAAGAAGTGGACGCAATTGATGGACATGCAATCCCATATGGAGAAGAGAGGAAAGGGCACGGCTGTTTACAGGTAAATTAAAATTGCGATTAAACAAGTATAAATCATCAATTTTTTTGGGGTTTTAGGGATGTGGATGATAGAGTTGTTCGTTATTTGCACGATAACTTCTTGGTCAAACTGAAAGCTATGGAGGAGGCAACCAAAAACACGTTTTTGGTGGACACTTCCAGCGAAACTTTGCACAAAATCTGCGGTATCATAGATGTCAACGCTTTGGAGATCAATCAAGATGGCGAGGTTTCAGCTCTGTATCCCACGGCCTACCTGATGGAACACAGCTGCGTTCCGAACACCATGCACGTCTTCGATTTCGAAGAAAACGCGTACAAAATCACCATAAGAGCTTCGATGCCCATCAAAAAGGGTGAGCACATCACGACGATGTACACTCACGCCTTGTGGGGAACTCAAGCTAGAAGAGAGCATCTGAACGAAACCAAGTACTTCTCGTGCAAATGCCAACGTTGCGCCGATCCAACGGAATTGGGAACTTTTCTCTCGGCTCTCCGGTGCTTGGGAACTGAAGGAGAACCGTGCGGAGGAACGCAGTTGCCGATCGATCCTCTCGATCCCAAATCCGAGTGGGCTTGTGACAAATGTCCTATCAAGATGGGTGGTAACGAGGTGGCCATGCTTGTCAATCAAATCGGTGAAGAGGTTGATGCCATTCAGATTAAACCTTCGGTTAGGGAATTGGATGGTGTTCTGACGAAGATTTTGACGTTCTTGCATCCGAACCATTATCATGTTTACGCAGTTAAGCATTCTTTGGTGCAGATGTACTTGTACCAGCAAGGATACATGCCCAATCAGATCAGCGATGAACTTCTGAAGAGGAA